CCCTACACCAAGCAAGCAAACTTACCCATTTATATTTTATGATAATGTATTAATATTTTTTAATGTATTTGTAGCGTAGTTTTCTTGTATATTTAAGTGTTTCACAAAATTTTCATATAGAATTAAAATTTGATTTATACGTTAGGATTTTTTTTGTAATTTGGAAAAATCTGAATTTATTTGTAATTTGGAAAAATCTGAATTTATTTGTAATTTGATGAAATTGATTTTGAATTTGATTTATAATTTAGATGTTTTATAATAAAAAAATGATGGGTTATTAAATGTGTAAAATCATATTTTTTCAATTTTATTGGTATGTTGAAAATCTTGGGGAAATTGAGTTTTTATGAAATTGATAACAATTAAATGGTATTAATTTAGATTGAATAAATTTGAATTGAACAAATGATAGATAATTAGTTGGGTACTAATTAAATGTTGTTAATTGGATTTATTCAATTAATATTTTGCCATATTGTTATATTTTTGTACAAAAATAATAATTAGTTATTACATTGTAAATTTATTTTTAATTACCAAAGTTGAATTTTGAATTGATTGTTATATTATTAAGAAATTTTTCCATCATTATTCTATATAAGTTTCCTAAGTAATGGATATTTATTATTGGATATATCGAAATTTACACCAAAGTTGTATAGGGAAAATTATTGTAAAGTGGTTAAAAGTTTTATTAATTTTGCACTCTTCAATATGAAGAATATTAGTAGGGGAGGAATTAAATGTCTGACACGAGCAAAAAATTGATGTTTTCTCCTAAGTGTAGGAGTGTTGAAGTAATAAATAACCCAGTAAGACCAGAATTAAACCACAAAGATATTAACTATATAAATTACAAATAATAATAATAATAAATTAAAGAGGATTTTGAAATGTAAGATTATTATAAGGATTAAACAATATCAAGGTTAAATGATCCATTAATTGTATTAAAAATAAATATAATATAAACTCTTTTTATTACTTAACTGGAAATCACTCATAAAAAAGATTTCAATCTGATGATTTATTATTAATAAATTATTATAAATTGTTAATATGATCATATTAATTATGTTATTTAAGTAACATCAAACTTTTAAATATTGTCAGGAATTCATAATGTTAACTTATATTAACAACAAATCAAGTTTCTTGTATAACATAGATGTAGGTTATACCATACGATTGGCTATGAAAGTGTCAAAAATTTATTATGCTAAGTGTTATACAATACAAATCTAAATTAACCATTTAACGAGCAAGTTATTAAGAATTAATAAGATAAAAATAATAAAACATGTTAATAGCAAGTTGTTTAGGATATCAACATTGAAGTCTATATTAAGTTTATATTATACTTATCCTCACACCATTAGTGAAACCTTTCCACCTATATATAATAAAATTAGTTAAACATAATGAAAAAGAGAAATATAAATAAATAAAAGGAGAACATTATTATATAAGTACAGTAAAGGAAATTAAAGACATAAATAAGATATTAATGAAATTATAACATGAAATAAAACTAGAACATTAAAGTACAAAGAAAGAAAGCAAGAAAGGAAATGATCTTAATTTATAATGAAGATGCCTAAATACATGGAAAATGTCTATTTTTATACATATAAAATCAAACCTAAATTCAAGTTCTACAACTCCAGTGATGTTCCAATAACTGAATAGTGTTCTAGTTTGGACTAAACCAGCATCTCTTTTCTAAGCTTAACCCTATTTTTTTCTTCTCAATTTCGGTAATTAAACTCATCAATCAATCCTTTAATTTATGTGGTTGGCCTGAATTTAAGATGAACATCTACCATAAATTAAAGGTATCTTATATTATTAGACATGTTATTATAAAACATACTCTAGTTAAATGATGAGTGCTTAAAAGTGCATTTTTATTAAGGTTTTCTATCATCATTTTGCACTTGAAGTATCAATAACTCCTTAACTAAAGCATGTTTTATAATAACATATCTAATAATATAAGATACCTTTAATTTATGGTAAATGTTCATCTTAAATGCAGGCCTATCACATAAATAAAAGGATTAATTGATAAGTTTAAGTACTAAAATTGAAAGGGCAAAGAGATAGCCAAACTTCGAAAAGAGATGTTGGTGTAGTCCAAACTAGAACACTATTCGGTAATTACGTCATATCTGGTGTTGTAGATCTCAAGGTCTACTTTATATGGATAGAAAGGTAAGACATAGGCCTACAACTTTCATGGGAGTTTAAAATTTTAAAAAGATGTTTTTAAATCTAAATTGTAGTAACAACAAAAAAGTCCAAATCTATTTTGTAGCCTAGACAATATTTAGTGTTCAGCCCATATCTCTAGTTCTAGAAGTCTAAATGATTTCAATTTTTTTTCTAAAAAGTTGAGATAATTTTCTATAACTTTCACATGGAGGTTTGATTCAAATTCTAATGTTGTCAATGATGTTTTATTCAAATAAGAAAATATAAGGATTGTCACCAAGTCAAGAGTTGGCTATCCACTCATCAATTAGCCATCAAATCAATAGTTTCTAATTTTGGCCTATAAAAGGAGATATTTTCCATGCATTTAGGTATCTTGATTTCTATATTAAGATTATGCTTTTGCTTCTCTCATTGTATTTTTGTAGTACTTAAGTTTTGTTTTCATTAATATCTTATTTATGCCTTTCATTTCTTTTCCTTTATTTAGTTAACTTTTATTGGATTTATGTTCTTATCTTGTTTATTTATGTTTCTCTCTTTCATTATGTTTACCTAAGTTTATTATATCAAGATGAAAAGGTTACACTAATGGTGTAAGAATAAGTATACTGTAAACTCATCATGGACTTTAATGTTTGATACTAAAATGTTTTGTATTTGTTATCTTGTTCACTCTTAATACTTTGCTTGTTAAATGGTTAATCTAGATTTATGTTGTATAACACTTGGTACAATAAATACTTGACACTTTCATAGCCTAATTGTATGGTGTAACCGACACTTATGCTATAAAAGGAACTTGATTTGTTGTTAACATAAGTTATAATCATGAATGTTTGACAACATTTACAAGTATTAGCATTATTCGAATAAGATAACTAATGTAATCATGTTAACAATTCATAATTCGATAAGAACCTCCTTTATGTGTAATTTCTAGTTGAATAATAAGAGTTTATACTATACTTGTTTGAAATACCATTAGTGGACCCTCTCATCTTGTTATTTGTTGTTATCATTGTTTAATATTCATATTGATCTTCCATCTCAAAGTTCTCATCAACTTATTTATTATTACTATTACTATTACTATTATTGTTTATAATTTATACAATTAACCTTCCTATGGTTCGACCCTAATCTTGCTGGATTATTTATTATTTCGATACTCGTGCACTTAGGAGAAGATATCAATCTTTTGGTTGTGTCATTAAGGATTTATTAAAACTTCAAGTGCAAAATGATAATATAGATCTTGATAAAAATACACTTTTAAGTACTAACCAATATCCATATATGAAGTGTAAAAAAAAGTCACCAATAAGATGATATGTTGATGAATCTTTTATACAAATGGTTTGTTAAAAAATACTTATGTTAGTTTACACACAAAGAACCATATGTTCCTTACAAAACCATATTAGAAATGATTATTAGCTCAACATCTAGTTCTCGTAACATATCAGACCATGTTAGAAAGGACTATTAACTCAACATTTAGTTCTAGTAATATACATAGAGTTGTAGATGATAACAATAAGTGTTATAGGAGTATAGTGATGGATGCAATGAGAATGAATTATAATTATCTAGGTGAAGGTCCACGTGTAGAGGAAGAACTAAATGTTGATACAATTAGGTTTTTTGAACTTCTAAAAGATTATGATGAATAATTATAGGATGGGTGCGCAAATCATAGTAAATTATCAGTCATTGCACAAGTGTTTACCATTAAGCCTAATAATGGTATAAGTGAGGCTAGTTGTGATAACATAATTGAATAAGGAAAAA